GAGTCTTACAGAAAGTAAAACTAAATGTAGTGCGGTGAATCCTTTGGAATATATCAGGGTTGTGCAACTTCTTTAAAAGCAATTGAACTCAATCAGCCACCAGATCTCCTTTTTCCATTGTTTCAGTATATTATAATGGAATATATCAGGGTTGTGCAACTTCTTTAAAAGCAATTGAACTCAATCAGCCACCAGATCTCCTTTTTCCATTGTTTCAGTATATTATAATGGGTAGATTGAAATGGGTTCTCCTCGAACTTCTCAAGCCTAGGCTGATTTTCACTGTCTAGGCCAGTGTTTCTCAACCTTGGGAACTTTAAGATGTGTGGACTTCAACTCCCAGAATTCCCCAGCCAGCATGCTGGCTAGGGAATTCTGGGAGTTGAAATCTACACATCTTAAAGTTCCCAAGGCTGGGAAACACTGGCCTAGGCAATACCAGCTCAAAAAGCAACAAACAGCATCTTCTCAGCGATTCCTGATAAAAAAATCAGCACAAACAACTGTGTTACGGTTTTCATTGAAGAGCTGCGCAGATATATTAAATTCTCCCTGTAAGAAAAAGAAAAGAAGGGATATGTTCAGAAGGAATTAATTAGTTTATGGCAGCTACTGCTTCTCTTCCGGAACGTTACTGCGGCTGTTGCTTTGAGTTGGTCAAAATAACCCGTTATATGGCAATTGTCAAAAGCTATCCTGCCACTGAGGCTGGCATTGAAATAAACTGGGAAAAAAGACTTTCAAATGACTTGTGAGAGACCAATAAGATTAGATTTTCTTAGCTGGGTGAAAGTGCTTTTTTCATCTTGCTGTTGCTGCATAATCTCTTGAAGGCTCCAAGGTTGTTCTTGGAGTAAATTCACAGGCAAAAACAAGACTAAGTTATTGGCTTTAGCAAAGGGATGGATCTGTGGATGGGTGTCTGAAGATTCATCATTTGCATCCCCTGGGTTTCTGCACCTTATAAACCTTAAAATACCTATTGGTCGTTGGGGTAATAGATTTAATGACGGCTAGCAGATGGTTTCTGCACTTTTGCCTAGAAATTCTTGCTTCTTTCATTTCTACGTAACATTCTCCTCCTGAAGAGGCTGATATTCTCAGGGCTGTCACCACATGCAGTTTCTGCTTTTTTCTCTCCCTCCTTCTTGTATCATAATTTCCTAAATAAAGTTGATAATTCTATATATTTAATTTCACACAAGCACCTGTCTGCACAAGTCTTTCTACAAACAAAATTCTTCCTGTTTTATTTTTCATTGCATGCAATTTAAAGTTAACTGCCGTCCCTTATGAGGACAGGGAGTCTCCCAAATGCTGCTGAACTAAACTTCCCAGCTTCCCTTGCCACTGGGCATGTTAGTTGTCACTGCTGGGACTTGTTCAACGTCAACATAAGTTCTCCACAATTGCATTAGAGAGTTAAATCATTTGCTCATACGCTTTCAGTGATCTCCTAAATTAAGAGTATATGAAGAGCTCTGCTGATCAAACCAACTGTTTCTTTAGTCTGGCTTGTTCTTATTATGGCCATATTCTAATGTAAATTTCCAACCAGTCTTCCTTTTTCAAGCCAAGAATTCTACTTGTCATCAAGTGCTGTGCTTGGAGCTCTGCTTCAAACATGCCTAGACAAGAACTACAGTACATTTGATTTGGTTTCATTTACATTGAAACTTAATATTGTTAATGATTCTCCTCTGGTGTTTTAATCATTTTCTCCTTTTGTCACATTAGAAATTACAAGGTACTGTAGTAACAGTTATCTCTAGTTCTCAAATAATCCTGGGAGTCCAGGCTGTGTACTCTATCCTGCACAGTTGTCAAGCGACTATATCAATTTCTCCCAGGATATCATACGAGAATACATGATCCTTATGTATGACATTTTACTAGATAATATTGCAACAACCCCATTCTCTTACTTCTCCAGTACATTCATTTATAAATAATAGTAGCATTACTTATACCTATTAGATGTTTCACAAATAATGTTTTTCTTTCACAAAATTTTAGAAAGAATTAGGAAAAACTTACTTGTGGGATGCCTTCCATGTTCAGGGAGACAGGCCCTTCATAGTAAATATATTCTGCAAAACAAACATTTCCAGTGGTGAGCAAGAAAACTGGGTGAGGCAGAAACTATTTTACACAATGAACACATGCATAACCCCCATGATTAAAACATGCCACATGCACACACAGAAACACAGCTACTCTTTTGGATAGAAACCAAGAATAGATCTCTGCTCAGTAATTAACTTAAGTGCAAAGTTACTATTCTAACACAGACCTGGCACGCTGTCTTCAGCTCGCTACAATAATGAGCTGCTGAATTTTATAACCTGTACCTGCCTCTTTGTGAATGGTTTAAAGGTTAATAATATTATTTATTAACAAATAATGTTCTATTTACAGCAGTTTGTTTTTCAAGTCGCAGCCAATAGCCCACCTCTAACTGATTCCACTATAATTCCCTATGCCCAGGACTGAACTCTTCCTGGAAGGGGTTCAGATAATATATATTTAGGGTCCTCTGTAGCTGATGCCCTAATTCCATTAGCATACTGCAATGGCCAGAGCAGTAGCCTTACCAAGATGAGGTATATGGAGAAAAATATAATTAGGGAGAGGTCTGTATGCTGCCTTTAGCCCTTAAATGAAAAACTAACAAACGTAAACATAGTAAATGTAGGTGACGAGAAGTAGAGTCATAAAAGGGCCACTGACAAAAAGTGGGGTTTGACAGAATATTCTGAGGTAACTTAAAGACTGCAAACATATATTGCTTTAAAAAAACAAATCAACCCTAAGCGGATTAGTTTTCTAAACAGATGAATGACAAAATGAGTCAGAATTTTTACATAATTTACCCTGTGCTTCCTTAATAGTGAGATAATATTGCATTGTTGTAACTGTTTCAACCAAGAGACTAATAATTTGCTATTCCCATTATCTTTGCCTTCTATGATTCAATGAATATTCTGTTAAGTGCATAGAGGGAATTAGGTTCTTGTTTAATAGTCATAAAGCTGTTTATAATTCTGGTGTAGGTCATGCTGCATATGTGTTCAGACCCCTCCCCCCCACAAATGCTCTTGTTTAACTTTTTGATTTTTAATTTTTCCATAAAGGAAGAATAATAGTACAACTATTCATGTATACTTTAAAGGCATCTGAAACAATCAAAAAATGGCAAAAAAATTCTTCAAACTGTTTTTCTATTTTATAAAAATTTGATTAAAAAACAGATCTTTTAATAATTATATATTTACAGGCCATCCAGAAAAATTGGGACAACTTTTTTTTGTAGTAATTTATATTGATACTGGATGATGATCAGATATAGCAATAGTATCTATACTACATTTATTAATCAATTCAACTAAAGGGTGAGATAACAGACATTGTTATCTAATTGTGAGTAACTCTAATGTGGAGTAACTAGTCTAATTGTGAGTAATTAATGTGGAGCTGAAAACAAAGCTCTAATGTGGAGCTGAAAACAAAGTATATTCTTTTTGCAGAGGATTTTGGAGTTGACAGATATATAAATAAAAACTCCAACATATTGCAGTACTTTCCATATATGAGAATTAGATTTAGTGTTACGATATAATTATGATCTAAAATCTTATTGAAATCTCCAGTCATAATTACCTGATTTACATCCGAAGTAAAAAAAAAAAAAAGATGTTCAAATATGGTGAAGTGCTGAAGTTATGACTTCAGATCTCTCCTGAATAAGTGGCAGTCTCCTTATTTTTTGATTGCTTTGTTGCTTGAAAATTTTCTCATCTAAAATACTGGCCAACACATGTTTATCATGTGTCCACAATTAAGAAGACAGAGAAAACAAAAATCTTCCTTGCTTGAAGGAATAGCGTACATCTTGCTGTGCAGGATGAAGCCAGCTAATAGATCGGGCAGAATTTAATCTGGACTAAGTGCTCTCCCCATGACATTATGGCTTTTAGAATTGGCTGAATTTATGTAGATAAAAACCTTAGCAGACAATTTGGATCATAAATGTTGGGACTTTTAAGATATTTGATGCCTTAGATTAGTGCTTCTCAACCTTGACAGCTTGAGGATGTGTGGACTTCAACTCTCAGAATTCTCCCAGGGTTCTGTCAGGTTTTGGCGGGAAGACTTTGGTGGGGCTTTGGTGAAGGGGCTGGATGGAGTCCCGGATGAGGGGTGGCCTCAGGCAAGGTTGAAAGTTAGTTTAGTTAAAATTGGATTTGGGTTTTTGTATTTAAACTGTGTGTTGTGTGAGTGGAAGCTTACTTTCTTTGGGTACCTTTAAGAAAGTTTATGTTTTGTTTCAGTCCTGACTGGTGGCCTTCTGTCATCAGCCTCAGCTTGGCTGAGCTCCTGACTCGTTTTGTTTCCCCTTGGTGTTTGGCCTTCAATCCTTCCTTGGTTCCTTTCCCCTTCAATCCTCTCCAGAGGACTGTGTGGAGGGAGAAACCAGTTTCTAGTGAAGCGGAGGAGGCAGCAACAAAGGGACCTAATTTCCCAGGTGCTGTTCACCCCCAGGCGCGGGTACCACAGAACTGAAGGACCTCAGAGGAGGGGCTGGGTCGACCCTGACAGCATCTTTTCCCCTCATTATAGTTATATTTTGTCAGTTTTCTACTTTTTCAAAATTTATGGTAGCTAACGTTTTTTTCTTTTTTCCCCTTGATCATGGAAATAATGTCTCTGTGCATGTTATAATTGATTTTCAGTCTAATGTGATATCTCTGTAAGTTTCATGTAAGTTACACGTGTCTCCAAGAGGAGGCAGATATTTACCAAACTGGGTACGATAAGACCTAAAGTTGCTTTTTTAAAATAAACTCATATTCTTCCCAAAGAGAAGGTTATTTTATCCAGGGGATGGGTTGTCTAGTATGTACTGATGGAGATTCAAAATCTGCTAGGTTTATAGTAATTCTGATGAATGAGTGCTCAAAATTTGTGGCAGAACAATAAATAATCCAGAAGGATTTTTAGAAATATTTGTGACTAAATATTTTAATAAACGTACTGCATTTATTAGTTTTTATGGTCCTAATAAAGATTTTCTATCTTCAACTGATTCATGTAATCCAATCAGATATGGCTTTATTTCATAATATGCTTCATTACAGTTTCCTTTCCTTTTGAAGATTCAGGGCTTCTGAGCCATAAAATCGAGGCGTTCCCTATTTGAGAGACTCTCTCCAATCATAACTACCCATCCCATCAGGTCCAGCAGAAAGGGCATGTTGCAAGTCCCTTCCACAAAGGAATGTCATCTGATGGGGCCCAAGGGGAGAGCTTTTTCTCCTGTGGCACCCGCCCTCCGGAACATCATTCCTCCTGAAATCAGACTAGTCCTGACCTGACTGGTCTTCCAGAAGGACCTGAAGACATCACTCTGCCATCTGGCCTGGGGATCTGGTAGTGGTGGTGTGGAGCCTGCAAAAGGGCTGTATTGACTGTGTTTTCCTGCTGATTATATTTTCATGGTTTTAATCGTTATTTCTGTTTTACTGTTTTTGTGTTTATATTTTTTTGTTATTTTTGTATTTCTTTTGTTTTTTGTTTTTAACTTTGTAAGCCATCCAGAGTTACGTATGTGAGATGGGCAGCTATGTAAATTGAACAAACAAACAAACAATAAAAGAACTTGGCTTTCTACTTGTCTACATAAGGAACTGTTTGTGTGGGTTCTGCAATGGATTCCCTTTCTCTTATATTCTCTACAGGTTTTTATTAAGTACTTCATCAGAATGAGACAGCTGTCCAGGAGATTTGTAAGGACATGAGAATTTAAGTTTGTCATCAGTCTCATCTCCATAATTTACATGATTGCTTGCTTAGGTGGCATTTGGCTATTATTCTGTCTGATATCTTCGAGCCATATAAACTTTGTGTTAGCTGTTCCTCAAAGCACATCTTAGTGGATGGATTGTTGCATCAGCATGAAGCTTACAGCACTGTATTCATGATTATGATCCTGATGAAGATGTCAGCATGGGAGACTTAAGACACTTTTCAATCTGTTTGATTAGCTTATTGTGCTATACCTGATGTTTATTTCTCATTTGCTGCACTATCCATGTATTCATATATGTGAAACAGAATTATTAAGCAGAACAGGTGGTGATAATCAGCTGTTTGGGCCAGCAGTGGACTTCTAATTCCTAACCTAAATTCCTAAATCTGTTTCTAAAGCCTTCTTTGGGCTATAGCTACTTTTATCAGAGATAAGCATCTGAGTCCCCTGCCCCTACTTTTATTTTTACTCCTTTCCGTTGATTTGGGGCAAAAAATCAAGTAGCAGATATGACTCCAAGAGAATTAGCACACATTCTGTAGAAAAGGGAGCAGCACTTATCCAACTTTGGTTGATCTGGAAAAAGCTCAGTAGGGTCAGAATTGGTAGTATTTGAAAGGAACACCATCAAGAAAGCCCAAGAATAGGAAGCTGAAAAATATCCTGCAAGGCAGTAATGCAAATCAGTTCTACATCATTGCTAAGAAAATAACACAGATGCTATTTGACTCAAGGGAGATTCTATCTTTTTATTAACAAGCATTCCTCCCCAACTTTCTAAATATGAAAATAGACCAAAGCTTATACTTTCAGTGCCCTAACTTCTCTCAGATATTGCTTTCAGTTTATCAATGTTATCTTCTCTTTCTCTCTCGTTTTTTGTCCCTTTGAATCAGTTTTTGGCTCCTGGAGACTGCCTGGACAAGTCCCTGCAGTTTTCTTGGCAAGGTTCTTTGGAAGTGATTTGCCATTGCTACTTCCTCGGGCTGAGAGAGAGTGACTGGCCCAAGATCACCCAGGGGCTTTCTGCCTAAGGTGGGACTAGAACTCACAGTTTTCCAGTATCTAGCCTGGTACCTTAAACCACTACAACAAACTGGCTCTCTGTTTTCTGGTCCTGCTCTTTTTTCGGGTTAGTTAGCTCTAGAGATGAACTATTTGTTTTTCTGTTTACCACACTTTATGTTGTTGGTGCTAAAGAGATCAATAACCATCACTGCGATATAACTAGTAGGTGGGAGCTCATCCTGTATATACCATTCCACTTCCCCATCTGGTTGGGGTTCTTCTGCCTCAGTCAGCCAGCATTCTGTGATTCCTGCTCAACCATGATTGGGATGTTTTGGCTTTTTCCCTATTCTTAGGGCTTCCCCTCCCCGAAGATCTTTGGTAAACATGGGTTCCTCTGAGCTGACTGATACTTCTCTTTTGTGAATGGATGTTTCCATTCTCCTCACTGAATGCTGTTAGCGTAATAGGTTTTCAATCACCACAATATTGTCCAAATGTGACATTCCCTTGGATCATGACATAGAATGCTGTTTTGCTTACGGGTATTACATATTCCTTTCAGTTGCCTATGGTCAAACTAAGGAGCCACATGGAACTTTCATGCTCAAATCTTAAACAATAGTTATTATAACTAATATTTTTGCCTACAAGATTTGTCTGGAGAATATTTCTTTATATATGTGTCTATCTGAAATTTGTTACAAAACATTTTCATTTCACTTATTTATTTACAGAGCTTCCAGGCTATTTTTTGTTAGAAGTGATTCTGAATAAGATGGGATAAAAATGTAACAAAGACAATATAACCACCACATAACACAATCCATAAAATCACCTATATAAGATCCAGGAATAAAACACAATCAGCAAAATAGAAAAACAACTTCCAATAACCTGAGTGAAAAAAACAAGCATTCAGAAACCAGGACTGTTTCTAAATAGACTTCTGAAATGACAAAGCATTATAGCAGCCATTTATCTGGGAACGGTTTGAGCTTGTTGGACCTGAGGAAGTGGACAGGGTCCTTTGGGCTGTGAGCTCAGCCACCTGCTCTTTAGATCCATGCCCCTCCTGGTTTGTGAAAACAGCCCGGGGGGTATTGTGTGAGTGGGCTCTAGTGATGGTAAATGCATCTTTGAGTGAGGGGGTTGTTCCCTCACCTCTTAAGGAGGCTTTGGTTCACCCCCTCCTCAAGAGGCCATCGCTAGACCCCACTATGCTGGACAATTTTTGTCCAGTATCTAACCTCCCATTTTTGGGGGAAGGTGATTGAGAAGGTAGTTGTGCAAGAGCTTCAGAGGACTTTGGATGAAGCAGATTATCTGGATCCCTTTCAGATGGGATTCAGGCCTGGGTATGGGATGGAAACAGCATTGGTTGCGCTTTTGGATGATCTCTGGTGAGGCGGGATGGGGGTTGTGCATCCATCCTTGCCCTACTTGACCTCTCAGTGGCTTTCAATACCATCAACCTTGGTATCCTTCTGGATCGGCTCAGAGGATTGGGGGTGGGCGGCACTGTGTTGTGTCAGTTCACCTCCTTCCTCCAGGGCTGATTCCAGTCGGTGGTGGTTGGGGAGGAGAGATCCTGCCGTCGGCCCTTGCTATGGGATATCACAGGGTTCAGTGCTCTCCCCCCTCCTATTTAACATCTACATAAGGCCGCTGGGTGAGCTCATCCATTGCCATGCTGATGATACACAATTATACATCTATGCCCTTGGTGAATTAAATGATGCTGTGAAGGTCTTATCCCGGTGCCTGGAGGCTGTGAGGGTCTGGATGGGGAACAACAGGCTTCAACTTCAACCCAGAACCCTCGGCAAGATTGAGTGGCTGTGGGTTCTGGGGCCTTCTGATGCTAGAGTTATGCCATCTTTGGACTGAATGGGGTTGCACTGCCCCAGACAGACCCTGTACACAATCTAGGGGTCCTCCTGGACTCATGACTCCTGCTCAAAGAGCAGGTGGCAGTTGTGGCTAGGAGGGCCTTTGCCCAGCTTCGTGTTGTGTGCCAGTTGCGCCCATTCCTTGATCAGAGGGACCTAATTACTGTCACTCATGCCCTGGTCATTCCTGTTTGGATTTCTGTAATGCACTCTACATGGCGCTGCCCTTGAAGAGTATCCAGAAGCTTCAGTTGGTGCAAAATGCAGTGGTGCAGGCAGTTATGTGTGCTCCTAGGGTGGTACATGTTATACCTCTGCTTCGTGAGCTGCACTGGTTGCCAGTTTGCTTCCGGGTCCAATTCAAGGTGCTGTTTTTGACCTTTAAAGCCCTTCATGGCATGGGGTCGGGTTACCCGAGGGACCATCTCTCCCCAGTTACATCTGCCCATCCCATCAGATCTGGCAGAGAAGGCATGCTGCAGATCCTGTCTGCTAGAGAATTACATTTGGCGGTTCCCAGGAGGTGGGCCTTCTCTGCTGTGGCACCCGCCTTGTGGAATCTTCTCCCCCCGGAGAGCTCCATTCCTCTTAACATTCTGTAAGTCCCTCAAGACCTGGTTATGTGAACAGGCCTGGGGCTCCCAGGGGACTGGGGAGATTTTACGATGGCTCCCTTATTAATTTCATCCTCTCCTATTTTGTGTGTTTTTACAGTTTTTTATGTCTGTTTTTATGTATTTATTTTTTAATTGTTGAACGCCCCCAGAGTCACCTTGTGTGAGAAGGGCGGCTATATAAATATGATGAATGAATGAATGAATGAATGAATGAATGAATGAATGAATGAATATTACAGAATGGTAAGCACACCCTCCTGTGATAGGGGTAAGGGCATATCCTGGGGATAATGGAGCAATTTGTAATAGCTTGTTTGTGAGTCGAGGATCCAGTTTGGAGCTGCAACTGCCAAGATGCTTGTCTCAAAGAGCAGAGTTGTTGTTTTTTTTGTGGGAGTAATGACATTATTCAAGACCAAGAAAATGGGTAATCAGATCAAACACTTTAAGAACCACTACTATATATATAAATATATATAAAATTACCTCCTTTCTTCTTTCCACAGAATTGAAACTCTGGGTGATTTTGCTCACAAAGTTGTTTGGCGTAAATTGGTATAGTTTGTCCATTAAGAATAAGACTGATATCCACAGAGAGTTCATTGATGGTGTACCCTGTAGAATAGATGTAGTATGAATCTAATGAGAAAGTACACGGGAACAAGGCCTTGCCACTGTGCTAATGTACTTTTCAGAGAGAGAGAGAGAATGAGAGAGAATGCATGTGTGTGCAAAATGCTGTTTATGTAATATGCCTCACGTATTGTAAATTCCCAAATTTAAAGCAAGTTGTCATTCCCACTTATGCTCAATGTTCTGAGAAAAATATCTACATTGAATATAGTGGGACTTTAGTTTTGAGCCAACAAGTACAAGATCCATCTTTAGTAAGTTTCATGCTTGGGACAGAATTACAGTCTGAGCTCAGACTGGCTTAAAAACTTATTTGATTCTTGCAAGCACAGAGTTGAACAAAACTGAAATTTGGTAAGTCGGGGGAAGAGTATGGCTGGATCTAAAAATTATGATTGGAAATCTGGCAGGTCTAAGGATGAGGTCACAGCCACAAATTTCTTTCTCCAAGCTTTTTAGTGCCTTGTTCATTTTTCTTATTTTCTGCTCTGAGCCTGTGACAATACATTAATCAGATCTTCACCAGAATTGGGTTAGGAAACTGAGAATCCAGTTCATGGATAGCAAAGAGGGAGGGTGGGAGAACTTTTCACCTGACGGGGAGCTGTTCATTATTATAATGCACCTTTATATTATTATACTGTAATTTGCAAACTTGGTCTGGTGAAGAAGTAGGATTCCCTCCAAGTGGCTATAACTCAGAACTGGAATTATCCAAAGACAGGGGCAGTCAGAGATATTTCTTTGGAATTACAGTTTAGGAGTACCATATCTGGACTCCAAAAATCCAGATGTAACTATTACATAGCACAAAGAGATACAGAAAACTCTAACACTTTGCTGAGGTGTAATTGTTGTCTGAATTTTTGCACCTCTTATAACAATAACCCTACCATAGCTTGAAACCTCTTCTGGGAACACTGTGTTTTAATTAGTTTCTTAAGTGTCTCAGAAGCAAATCATTACCATCTTTTATTTTCTGGTTTCGTGAGGTCAAGGTCATGATAATGAACATAAGAACATAAGCAGTACCCTGCTAGATCAGACTTCTAGGACTTCTGGCCCATCTAGTCTAGCAGTTTGTTCTCACAATGGCCAGCAACTGCACAAGGAAGCCTACTGATCTCCCAGTAGATGGCCTTCAGAGGCAGTCACACTGCCATCAAGACGAATAGCCATTGATCTCCATGACTTCTATGAACTGTTCCAACTCTTTTTTGAAGAAGCCAGCCAAGCTTGTAGCCAGTGCCACACTTCAGGGTAGCAAATTCCAAAGTTTGATTATGCGTTGTGTAAAAAAATATTATGTTTGTCCAGATCCTAACCACCCTATAAAACATGGCTTAACTAAACAAATTAGTAAAAATAGACATTAATTTCAGATTTTAATAGGCTGAATTGGGTGCAAACAGTGTTAGGAGGTAATGCACAACTGACCCTCTCTGTCCAACTGTATGTCTGCCAACAGCATCACAATTGAACAGATTTTTTCCTCCCCTAAAGATTGTTGTTATCTTACACTACAGGTGTACAACATCCATAGGCTCAGAGTTTGCATAATATGTTGAAGACTGAACTCCAAAAATAAGCAGGGCTGAGCTGCTTGGGGAGAGGGTTTCAGGTGTTTTAATGAATGAAATGGATTCCCTAAACTACTGTGAGTCTTAAGGCCTTCCTAAATTAAAGCTTGGGGGAATCACAAAAGAAATGTTGTTAGGTCATATCTGCAGTTGTGGTTTATACCAAGGGAGAACAATCTGTGATCTTCTAGATAGGTTGAGCTTTGAACCTCGTTATCCTACAACCTACCGCCCATGAGGTGCCACAGGGAATGTAGGAAAATATTCACTGCTGACATCAGTGTTGCTTCTGGAAACAGCTTTTGGCACAGTTTCCTATCAGAAATGTCCTTAATAATAAGTCATGTAACATTAATTCATCATAAGTCTGTTACTGAAACTTCAGCTAAGTAATCAGCAAGTGAGCAGGCATGTACTGTAATATATGGGGCAGTTATAACTTTATAAGAAGTACAAATCTAGCAGGGTGAGTACCAGTCTATGCCTTTCCAAAATTAAGCTCACTCAGCAAGGCAAATATCCCATGGTTTCTGCCTGGCCAGTGCTGGCTGGCAGAGTTGGTGTGCTCCAGATCCCTTTGATTAAACAATGCCATCTATTAGGGTCCAGGAAATGTGCATTCTCTATTGCAGTACTTGCCCTCTGGAATGAGATCCCCCCTGAGATCCATGTGGTTCCCACCTTGATCATGTTCCAGAAGGCCCTGAAGACCTGGCTATTCTCCCAGGCCTTGGGTTAGGGTAGATTGGGCCCCCTTGGTGGATGAGGTTTTTGTACATGTTTATATGGACCAACTGGATGCCATCTGTTTATTTGTATGGTATTGTGTTTTTATTCTGTTTTCTATTTGATTTTGTGACCTGCCCAGAATTGTTTTGGAGTTGGGCAGTACCTAAATCTAATAAATAATAAAATAAATAAATAAATAATTTGTAGCTGATAATTTTAATTTAGAACACAAGGCATTATCTTAACCATTGAAGGACTGCCCACTTGTACTGGAGCCCAGCACTACAGAGCAGGAAATTGTTACACTTACTTAAAATAGTTGCTATTCGGATGTTAATAACTATGCCTGGTACATAGGAACAACTGTCAACACCCAAAGCAAGATCTTGCAGAGGATCTGTGGAGAAAAATATAATACAAGTCACAAGTGATTGATTTTACAATAGTATAGATAACAGTTACAACAGTATAGATAATGGTATAGATAACAGTTGTTATCTATACAAGAGTATAGATAAGAAAACATTAGAAGGATTTTTCTTAAACTTGGTTTCTGCTTGATCATCCTCACAGTTCCTGTAGATGTGTTCTCTGTGGATCACTGTGCTTTCTGCCTGGGGAGATTCAACAGGGAAGGAAATTCAAAACCCTGTGGCCCCTGTCCTCTTGACACCATGACTCGATTAAGCAACCGAGCTTCCTGAGTAGAAGCAAGTGTGGAAGGCTAGACCTTTCTTTGCAGCTTTCTGCTCTGAAATGCCACTTCTGCAATGCCAGTGTTGAAATTTAAACAGGAAGCACCTTGCTTCTTCAGGATGTGATGAGGCCACCAAAGACACCCTCCAACCTTCCAACCTCTTCCTCAATTTTTTTTTGGCAGAGCCCCCAGTGATAGTTGACCCTCTCAGACTACCCTTTAAGAATCAACACCACAGAAAGAAAAAAAGATGTAAAGGTCAATCTCACAGATTGATATAGCAAAAATATAGCAGAAATTTCTTGTAGCAGAAATTTCTCTGACTCACTTATGCAGAATAGTATTATACCTATATATTTTGTAGCTTTTTTTCCTCTTACTGTATGGAGAAGAAGATACTATGTTTAATTTTAGCAGACATGTCCACGTAACACACAGTGACAAAGGGTGCTGTGGCATTCCCCTTTGCACATGGACAGTACTGTGCAGGTAATTTTGTAGCACCCAGAAGCCTTATTTTGTTTGAAATGAGTGGCTGTTACTGTGGCTACATGGCACATAGGGTGAACAAAGAGAAAGAGCCCTGAAATAGTCAGCAACAACACCAATGCTATATTTTACAACATGTTCATTAGATAGTTGAAAACAGCCCTAGCACATGTAACTTTTTGTGCCAGAAGCTTTCTTTATGCCTTGTGAGCAGATCTCACAAATAGATGTACTTGCTCTGTAAGAAACTATTTAAATAAAAGTTTATGCTTTGATGATCAAACCAAAGCCACAGGAAACAAGGAAGATATATATTGGAAGGAGACAGGAATAGTAACCCTTTGTGTTTCCCTCTCTATCTTTCAAAATCAGTTTTGTTTTTGTTTTATCATTATGTGGTAACTGAGCACTGTTTAATATATTTTGCTCCTTGAACGGCTTTGACAATTGTTTTGCAATCCCATCGTCACTGAGATATCCTAAGTAGGTTATGAAACCATTTTGTAACACCAAAGAAACTGCATCTTGACCTCTCTTTTCTGGGTTACCAGTTCCCCTTTTCGTCCTCAGCCTATTTCACATTAGAGTTATTTGACTTTGCATGAAAGCATTTCTCCTCTTTTTCTTTTCATGCAGGCAGATGGCACAGTATAGGAAAAGGTCTATAAAGGGTGCTTGTTTGCTACAGGTGCCACATGTCAGAGCATAGTTGCATTTGCTCAGCCTCTGCACTGGGTCTTCAAGTGTAAATTAGTTTTCTTCCTGCCACAGGAACAGATGTGCAGCAGTTGGTATTCTGTTGGTTGGTATATTTTCAGATAGAGAGAAAAAGGAGCGTGGCAAATTGGTGCATGTGTATTTTCAGTCTGTGCAATTGTTTTCTTTTCCTTCTAATGGTGATGCTGGTTTGGGTAATTTGAGTCTTGTGCAGGCAGCTGATGGCACACATGATTATGGCCTTAGCTTAGGGCAGCCAGTTGATATAATCATTCTGTCATCTTCTTAAAATAATAGATGTTGATGGTGGTGTACTTGGTCCTTTGATGTCTAACTTGTCTGCCATCCCTGTTTTACCAGTTATCTGATTAGCAGGTTGTTGGGGGTAAATGAATTGATAAAGGGAAAATGCTCTACACAGGCTATAAAACTCCTCTTTATTGCTTCACAAGTTCCAATAACCTTTGGTGCAGAATAAGCTGCGCAGGAAAATGCACAGATGGGGGAAAAGGTCCAGTTTACTGCTTAGAGAGTTACCATGTTCTATCCACTCATCCATCAATCCATCTGCAGAGTGAAAATGTACACATCCTGAATTCTCACAGTCAAAATGTTTATCTTCCTTTCCCAGGAGAAAATGATGCTGTACTTCAGCCTCTCATTTCCCCTCCACATTTGAGAAACAGACAGCCCTGTTGAATTTCCAGGTTTCTGTCTATCCACATTCTCCAATTCTGTTATTTTTTCCCCCAGAATCCAAATTAGACCTTTTTCTTCAGAACCACTTGCTTTACAAAATCTCCCACCTCATATATTGTTGTGTGTATTTTTTAAAAAACGTCCATTGGTGAATATTTCATTTGGTAATTCAATTCAAAGGCAATTTGATTGAATTTCTAAACTGAAGTAGATTTCTGAACAGAATTAGCAAGTTGATCTGAATCAAATCAGGTATTCTGATCCTAGATTCTGTCTCTAGAAACATTGTTTCCAAAGCAATTCAGATGTCTAAATCAAACTGTATTGATGTTCCTGTTTGAAATGGAAAGACTGAATTGAATTATATTGCAAATCCAAATCAAATCAAATTTATTTATTTGTTATATGTATATCCTGCCTTTCCTTTATGAGTTCAAGGCAGTGTACATAGCACTCCTTCCTCTAATTTTTCACCATAACAACCAGTGAGATTGGCTGAGCTAAAAGACTGTTTCAAAATCACCCTATGAACTTCCATGGCTGAAGCTAAACTTGAACCGGGAACTCTTTGGTGCCAGTCTGACACCTTGACCATTATACTATTCTCACTCTCATTTGTACATACAAGTTCTTTGCAAAGTACAATACTTTACCAGCCATGGTTGTGGCATTCAGTGCTGGTTCCTGATAACCCATCAAACATCTCTTCAACCATATTACCCAATCTCCATTTATGAAGACTGATCTTGGCAAAATTTATTTAGCCATGCAAATCACCAAGCTAATTAGTTAGGGATGGGACTCCCATAGATTACATAGCATCCTTATGGTCACTGAGGCCTTTTTGATTATATTACCAAAATTCTGCAAAATTGCTACAATTGAATTATCTTTAATGATTTACTTTCACAGTAGTAACGCCTTGGAGGTTTGTTTTTGCTATTTTCATGCTTTTAAATTTCACCCAGAAGCCCTATCCACTTTGACGTTATATCCCTGCCTTGATAATCCTCTCCTTAGCAATCCTCAATTGTAAAACTAGAGTTGTCAGTCTTTATGCATTAAGGAATTGCCCATTCTTCCTTTACATTCTGTCTTAGCCATTTACCTAAACAAGTAGGTTTTTCCAAGTGGTGGAAATCCTACACAATAGATATCTGATGCTTCTATGATAACAATGGGACAATAGGCCCCAACTACCATATTGGTATCACAAATGAAACATTTCATTTTCCCTTTCCCCATTCTCTCGTATTCCCATGCTATTCCTGGTTCAATACTTTTGGACAGTTAGTTGATAATTTTCTAACAAATTATTGTTTTAAATTATTTTTGTGAAAACAATCTCCAGTAGATTAATTGCATATGTTTCCAGACATTGATCTGGTTGAGTTCACATAGTTTGGGATGGGGGTGGGGATCCCATTACTCTGCAGAGTACATCAATACTTTTGGCCTTTCCCTATTTCACTCCTGGGAACAGTTAAATAATGGCAAGGCAGTGAATCATTTTAGCTCCTGTTTTTCCAAGTTCATGCTACAGTAGTAGAACAGAATTAAAAATGAACACTCAATAGACTAATTCTTAGCACTTCCATTGTGCTTTCTGCCTTCAAAGACTTAAATAAGATACCCTCTAATTAATACAGCCCTGGTGTAGAAATGATTATAGACTTCTTTTTTTTAAATATCACAGCTAAAGTGTTTTCTCACCATTGTATGCCAGCTTAGGAAATATATTGCCTTCAACCAGTGTTCCCTAAATTTCTCATAGCAATCACACATATCCTGCGTTTTTAAAACTTAGAACTGGAAGCACATTTCATTTGTGCAAAACAAGAGTTACTTACAGCCCTATCATTGGACAGGGTGAAACAGTGGGATTAGCTGAAGCAGCTTATAGCCTGTTTTCCTCTACTGAATGATAGAACTGTGTAGGGTACAGTACTGACTGATCTAGGCCCCTTAAACTAGACTGCTTCCTTCTTAAACTTTTATGTCCCAGTGACCAGTTTATAACAGCAACTCTGAATACCAACAAGATGGAAAGAAAAAAAGAATAAAAAAGCCCACTTTTTCTGAGAAGACAGTATACAGTCAGGTCCAGAAATATTGGGACATCGACACAATTCTAACATCTTTGGCTCTATACACCACCACAATGGATTTGGAATGAAACAAACACAATGTGCGTTAACTGCAGACTGTCAGCTTTAATTTGAGGGTATGTACATCCAACACTTTTGGTCCCTTAACAAGTGGGAGGCACATATGCAAACTGTACTTTTGGTCCCTTAACAAGTGGGAGGCACATATGCAAACTGTACTTTTGGTCCCTTAACAAGTGGGAGGCACATATGCAAACTGTACTTTTGGTCCCTTAACAAGTGGGAGGCACATATGCAAACTGTACTTTTGGTCCCTTAACAAGTGGGAGGCACATATGCAAACTGTACTTTTGGTCCCTTAACAAGTGGGAGGCACATATGCAAACTGTACTTTTGGTCCCTTAACAAGTGGGAGGCACATATGCAAACTGTACTTTTGGTCCCTTAACAAGTGGGAGGCACATATGCAAACTGTACTTTTGGTCCCTTAACAAGTGGGAGGCACATATGCAAACTGTACTTTTGGTCCCTTAACAAGTGGGAGGCACATATGCAAACTGTACTTTTGGTCCCTTAACAAGTGGGAGGCACATATGCAAACTGTACTTTTGGTCCCTTAACAAGTGGGAGGCACATATGCAAACTGTACTTTTGGTCCCTTAACAAGTGGGAGGCACATATGCAAAC